AAATCTTATTTATAATGGAATTATACTCTACCACAGTGCCCAAGTTTTATAGGTGTATAATATATTAAACTGCTGAATGGGACAATGCTGAGTTACCCCCAACTTTTAATCCCAGACCCTAATCCAATCCTTTTTTAGCGTTATTATTAGTGAACTCAAAGTAATAATAATAATATTAATAAAGGGTTGGATTATGGTGTCCCATTCAACAGTCTAAACATCTAAGCATACAATTATTTTTTTATTATTGCTTGATTCTACACCTTATCTTAAGTACAAGTATGGAATTTTCAGCATGTGTGATATCGGTAGCCCAAAATTCGCACGCCGACCAATTGATATCAGATGTGCGTCGGCAGGGGATTGAACCTCGGATCATGTGCGCATGGTTGGATAGTTTCCTAACCGCTGTACCACCGACGCACACTCTATTAACAAACTCTGAGATTTTTACAGCTCTTTATTCGGATTGTTTATTCGGTATCCTTTTTCTAACTGCTACAGTTTATCTTCATCCTTCATGTGCGCGGTATCTGTAGCAACTAAGAGTGTATCATGTAAAGTGAAACTGTTGTCTATAATCCCCCTGAATTATCCCCTTCGATTTTGATTCATTTTGTATTATTTGAAATGCATCATAGTTATACAAAACGTGTCTTTCCCAACGAAAGCTCGTTTAAATTCATCAGGCGGTTCTAAGGTCGTTAAGACAGGGAGGGGCTAGTCATCCTACTCCTCGGAAAATCAACCCGATCACTACACAAGCTTCGAAGTACAGAAAAAGCATATATAAAATAAACGTATTCTTCGTTGGAATCGGAGAGATGAAATGACACAGGCTGGGGAAAACCTTCAGGGAGCCAGTCAGTTAGCCAGTGTATGTTCGTTCGATGAAAATAAAAATAAGTCTGGTGGGGGCGGGTGGACAGTGGTGTGTCTGAAAGATGTTCCAGCCAAAGCCAACTTTTTATTATAGCAGAATTTCAGTATTCATCACTAAAACCCATTGGAACGTTCACACTGAGATTACCACTTCGATCAGTACTAGATATGTTGAACTCCCCATATCATCCTATAGCCGAGTGGTTGGTCAAACTCTTCATAGTCTCTACATACTGAATTGGCGAAAATGAGTGGAACAGAAACCTTTGAATTTTTTGTAACGACAAGAGATTTAAATGTTAACTATAAATTCATGATATCATTTGACGTATCTTCCTTATTCACCGATGTGTGTACCACTAATTAAAACAGTAGACTTTGTATCCGAAGAACTTATCAGACAAAACATTGATGTCAGCATTCCGTATATCTTTTATAAAAGTTGTAGGAATTGTTGGTATTTTGGTTCGCATTGACTTTTGATTCATATTCTTGTCAATGAATTTCTCTGGGTAACTGATCTCACTCAGTAATTGTGTTATGATATGGATCTTTTTATTAAGACATTCATCAGGGCAGATTACTCTTGCTCTGTTGACCGCTTCACTTATTTTGGAAGTACCATCAGCCAACGCCAGTGGGTTGATCTCTGACGAAATCTCAGCACGAATACAGGGGGCTCGTTTCGCATTTGCCAGTTTACGCCGACTCTGGCGTAGACGCGAGATGTTCGACCATCAACCAAAGGGCGAGTGTACTGCTCATCAGTTCGCTCCGTCCTCCTTTATGGCTAGCTGTGAGACCTGGCCACTGAGAGTGGAAGACATGAAGAGGTTAGCTGTCTTTGATCATAGGTGCCTGCGTTCTATCTCCCGTGTGTGTTAAGTGGCATAATAAGGTGAGCAATATTTAGGTTAGGCGTCGAGTTCTAGGCGAACAGGGGAAGTCAATCGCCGAAGTCGTGAAGTTACAAAGACTGAGATGGTTAGGACATGTGTTACGTATGCCAAGTCATCACCTTCCTCAACGGACGAGCAATGTTAGCGGATATAGGGTCAGGCTGGAAAAAAGCTAGCGGCGGTCAAACAAAACTTACTTACTTTTACTTTACCTCGGCTATCTCCTACGGGAGGATGAGCCGGCTTCATGAACATAAGTTCATGAAGTTTCATGGAAATTAGGTACGAGTGATGTCCCCACCATCGCTCGGCCTTTTGTTTGAGAGTGCAGCTATAGCCTTTACACAACCAAGTGTGACCTACAAGGCAGTAGGAGTGGAGCAGGGAGTCCACTATCCATTGGCAGCCGGTGACCGGAGTCCGGTTCATACGCCTTTTTGGATGGGGCCAGACATCCAGGACATCCAATAAGCCCTTTGTCCATACATCTGCCGGTGAGCTCCAGTGAGCTTCATACGCCAGTCGTTGGATGTTTGGAATCAGGGTTTAGCCATCTCCCTAGACTGTCATCCAATGGACAATCAACCCGGTGGAGAGCACCGGGCATCCGCTTTTGCCCTCTCACTTTGGTGAGAAACACCTCCGCCACATGAAGGCAGTGAGTAGGACTTCCTCAGGAGAGGCTATGTAAGACGCCCGGTCATATGGGAGCATTTCAAGAGGTGTACGGAGGGGTGGCCAACCCGCAGCGCAAGGCACCCACCCCCGACCATCCTGAGGCTTTGGAGGCGGTCAAACAAAATCTTGGCACCAGTCAATGAAATCCACAACAGTTAGTTTAAGCTACATAGGAAGGTGTAGACTTCCTGTTTGGGGTCCTCGGGACGGTAAAAATCACTGGTTGGAAACAATTGATGACATGGCTCAAACTCATCGTTCTCAGTGGCTCAGATGCATCCACTCCTTGTGACTTATGATTTCCAATGAAACTGTTTTGTTCTTCGTTATTACTATTCCTTTGTCTCACACCTCTGCTTACTGTCTCTATTATGCTTTTCTTGTACTTTCTTCTCTTGTTTTGTGTTCTACATGGAGGGAGTGTGGCGACTTGAACAGCCGCACATATATGCAAAGTTCTATGTCGAAAACAGACAGACAGACTCTTGCTTTGTGGACCGAAAATCTTATTAGGTTGAGTATTAAGCTCAAAAATATCAATATAATAAGGGCTGTTTATCGTCGGATTTCAGAACACCATCCTGCGTGGCTAAGTAAGAGATAAGCGAAGTTCATGCATAGTTCTGTTCTATCTCATCTTTTGAATACAACCGAACTCAAGATTCATATCAAACTTTTCAAAGTCATCTACTGTATGTATACAGACTAACCTTAATTTTACTTCACGAGTTCTTCTGTTACATACTGCTGAGGCTGCTGGAATCTACATTAAGAAGCCTAACTTATGTATCCAAAAGAAAGAGTTGTTTCAGATTCTTTCCTTACCTTGGCTCTCAATCAAGGCTTTAACGATCTTCAAGTATTGCTTTTGTAGGGATTTTGTTTGATTGTATTGTGGATTTCACCATGAGCTGACATTGCGAAGTGGTCGCGCTATGTCGTGAACTGGCAGAAGTTAGAATTCAAGAACCATTGGATCGGGTCCCAGTGGCTCAATCGTCTACGAGCTCACCTTGTAACTAGAAGGTCCTGGGTTCGAACCCCGGTGGGTGCGTACTGATGAGGAGTCCCAAACTAGGACGAAACAGCTGTCCAGTACTCCTTACTGGTTTTCCAGTGGTTCTCTAACTGATGTCAGCTCATGGTGAAATCCACAATGCTTTAACGATCCTTAAGCTGTTGTAGAAATTTCCTCGATTTTATTTGATATTCTACTTAGTATTACACTTTTATGCGTATTATAACTTATGCATCTCTTTTGAACTGTAATTTCATTGTTCTTAATAAAGAGATAGTATTTAAAAAAAAAACACCAATATTGGTAATGACGATGATTCTAGGATATTTTATGTAACATATATATCCCTTGGGTTCCAAGTGGAATACAGGGCTTCAACAACACATCTCTACTTCGTCCTATTTTCTGCAGTCCTCTTCACCTGAGTTCACGATTGGCCATTATCTTTTATCTCCTCCTCACTGTCACTGTAGGATCACCCACTCGTCGTTTCCCATTTGGATTCTACTCGAGGACCTGGTGCTCGATGTCATTCAATGATTTTCTCAATGTATGTCTGACCCATCTTCATTTTATCCTACATATTTGATGGGCGGTCGGTTGTTGGTTGATTTGTTCCCAGTCAGAGTTTCTTGTTGCTCATTCTTTCTAGCCGGCCGGCTGGTTATTTGATCTTCAGTATGGAGCCAGCGAAGCGGGCAGCTGTTGATAAAAGTCTGTAAGTGGTTAAAAATGCTTTTCGTGACACTCAGTGGAAGCTTCTGGCACGTATAGAAGCAGTGACTTGCTTGACATTTGTGTTGAAAATTTAAATCTTGTTTATTCTGAAGCGGAGTGCAAAAGATTGCCAAACTGGTTTCAGGTTGATCAAGGTGTAATCTTGGCTTTCCGATTCTGGCTAGCTGGCTTTGACACCTTCATCCGTTCCGTCGGTCTGTAGTTGAAATAATGCTTCCTAGATAAGTGAAGGCATGAAGTAACCTCTTTAAAATCTGTCCTGTTGTTGGTGTTTGGTGCTGGTTGTTGTTGTTGTTGCTTGGTTGGTTGGCTATCTTCATCATCTCCGTCTCCACCTTCTCTATGTTCACCTGAAGTCCTGTCATCACCGCCCCACCCTCTTCAGCCAGTTTGTTGGTTTTCGCCTGCATAAGTCTTCGATTTTGTGTGTGTGACATTAGACATAAATCATCCATCCGCGAAATCCAGATATTCCTATTATCAGTGGTCCAACGTATTCCTGCCTCCTGGGACCCCACAGTCTGACGCATAATTCAGTCCACCACACTTAGGAATATCATCGGTGATAATAGGCAGTCTTATATATATATATATATATATACATACATATATATATATAATTGTAGAGATGGACAGGGAATTTATCAAAAAGCATATTATTTGCTCAAATTTTCTTTTATCTGCTGACTTTTTACGTTTTTCTTCATTTTTCTGTATCAGTTTTAGTTTTTTTTTTATAGTTTTCTATTATTCTGAATCATTTTTATTTGTTATACCTTTTTTAGCCGGTTCAGGACATAAATTCAATTGGAATTTCCCCATAGAATATTGTAAATTATACTATAAATCATTTCATTCTTCTGGTGATGATGATATTAAACCTATTAAAGGATCACCGAGTGAACGACGATCACCACCAGGACGGCGACAGCATCATCACCATCAACATCAGAAGCAGCAGCAGGAACAACAACAGAAAAGTCATTCAGTAACACCGCTAACACCAACATCACAACAACAACAAAAAACCCAATCATCATCACGAGCTACTTCACTGTCAATGCCATCAACTTTTTCATATATTCATCATCTTAGTGACAAACGACATACGAAATCGCGTAATGATATGATTGAGGATATTAGTCATCGTTCTACACGTGTTCGGTAATTTTTTTAAAACTTTTTTTCTTCTTAGTTGTGGAAACTAAGAAGCGCCAGACAGCTGTTTCGTCCCCATTTATGTCTCTTCATCAGTAAGCAGACATCACCCTATGCAACAGGGGGATCGAACCCAAGACCTTCAGGTTACAAGGAGGCGAGCTCTTGTACCACTCAGTCACTGGCTCATAAATTTTAACTTGCATCAATTCGTGATTTCAACCCCACCGCAAGTTCTGTGTCATCGGCGAGCCTTTTCTATTCCTGTGTCTAATCATGAATTGGCAGAAGTAAGAATTTATGGGCTGGCCATTGAGGAGTCGGGTCCCAGTGGTTGAATGGTATACGAGTTTACCCTTTGTCACAGGAAGGTTCTGGGTTTGAACCCTGGCAGTAGGTGCGTACTACCGATGATTCCCAAACTAGTATGAAACAATTGTCTAGTACCCCTTGGTTTCCAATGGTTCTCTAACTGATATCAATCTGTGATCAACTTGTGTATAATTACGTTAAAATTTTAGTTTTATTTGTGTAGTACGTTGACAGGCAGAAGTGTGCTACTAATTGCAGAATAAATTTCCCTGAACTTTCCCCTTAAATATATATATACACACACACACACACACACAGGATATTGGATATCTTGATGGCGTTGTAGGATAAGTTGACAGAAGCTAGAGCTTGTGAGTTATTGTATTATTGAATGATCAGTCGGTTTAATCTGAGGGTTTTTTAGGCTTCAACCCTTAGTAGGATCATACGTAAGCGCTTCTGAAGAGACTCTAACTAGTACGAAACAACTGTACATTGGTGCATCATGGTTTGTTAAGTGCTACTTTAACTGATATTTATTAGTAAAACTTATTTATATCCATAAACCATCTCAAACTGGAGAAATTATACTCTTTTACGCGCTATTTTACGTTGTTCCTTAATTGTTTTCATAGTGTTTTCATATATGATAAGCATCGGTAAACTTACCAAACCAGTGAAAGGTTCAGTGTTGCAATCTCCAGTCGACACGATTTTAAATCTTGCTTAGGTAGTAGGCAAAACGTTTGCAGGATGAAGGAAGTTTAGCTGCGGGAGTGACAATCTCATCCCTTAGAAAGAACACCACCGCTACTGAAACTTCGAGGCAGGCTTAAAGCTTGAATCCCTACGCACCACTGGGAGAGCAACGGAAAAGAGTAAAATAAATAAACTCACATAGCACACTGAATTGTATCTTGTCATCAAAGTATTACAATGTTATGTTCTTCTATATGATGGTTTAATATAGGGAAGATGGAAAGCACATATGCAGCCGAGAATTCGATCCACAGAATCAACTAATCACAAATGGCAGTTATAAGCTCCAACTACTAATACTATGTAAATATGGTAATAAAGATAGAGCAGATATCGATCGATGTAGGCAGACGGCTTTTACTGTCGTTTCATTATTTATTTATTTTTTTGTTGCTTTTGTTCGGAGTGGAACACTGCGCTAAAGTGGTGCATCCCAATTACACTCGACATTTGGTTCACATGCGTTTATTTCCTCCGGATCCTCGTCATGTGATCACCACCGCATTACTCTCGGATGCCTAACCCGCTGTTTTCCATTCAGGTTGTACTTGACAGTCTGTGATATAAATCTCCATTTCGTTCAGCATATTCACTGTTGAAAGATTCACCCATCTGCCAGAGTTCTTCGCTGCTTGTCCTTTCTAGCTAGCCGTCTGATCTTTAGTATCGAGAGAAGGCAACTTATTTATTGATGAGAGTTTGAAGTCTTTTGGAGATGCTTTTAGTGACGTCATCAATAAGTTGTACTGTTTCACTATACGTTTTTAATCAAATGAAATTATTCCATGTTGATATTAAACTCCTTTGCGTCGGTGGTACAGTGGTAGAATGCTCACCCACCACACCAAATGTGGTTCAGGGTTCGATTCCTGGCCAGCTTACTACTTTACGTCGCTAAGCTAGTAATAATACTGGTATAGAGGGAAGGTTGGGCATGAGGCTGGCTAGCAACCCCATCCTGTAAAAATAAAACACCACTGCTACCGAAATTTCAAAGCTGTAGCTTAAAGGTGCCCTATGTTCCACTGGGAACGTAAAGGAATAAATGCGAAAAATTATAATCTACTACAGTATCGGAGTTCTATTCTCATATGAATGTAACAGCTGTTAGTTTAACTGCTATATAAACAACATTTCTGACATGGTATGTCCTGCAGGAAAATTCATTTTAGCCCCTGTGTAACTTGTTGTTGGGTCATCGCTATTGACCGAGTGATGATTTCAAAGAATAATTTTCTTAAACTAGATGATACCTGTAAACTGAGTTGGTAAAGCAGAGTTAGTATTCTGGAGAGGTGGCTAGTTCTCTAACGGTAGAAAAGACGAGAGAGATAGAGAGAGGACTTGAAGCCTAACTTGGTTATTCATCAATGGAATAAAACTGAAGTCTCCTTGCTTCATTGGCGATTAGGCGATTCCTGTTGAGCTATACTCATGTTTATTCTGTCTTATCATCGGTTATCATCAAGTGCTCAAGAGCCTTCTTCTTACAACAACAAATATTAGTTGTTAATGTGAAAGTAGAATTTACGCGTTGTTGTAGAATGCAATTACAAATCAGACAACTTTTTCTGACGTCATTCACAGTGTGATACAGTGCTGAAAACTGAATGACGGCATCTCGAGCACAAATGATTGCTGCTCCCAATCACATCTCAGTGTATTCACACAATTTAATAATAATGATAATAATAATAATTTTCTTTATTCCAAAATAGTACTTGTGATACACAGAATGGAATTCTCAGCATTTCACTGCAGTATTGCGCAACCAGTTAGTACATTAACAATAAATAAAGTTCTACAAAGATCACATGTAGTCTCAGTTAGTTTTGACAACAACATATTAACACCTCGGTAGCAAAGCCAAAAGTGAACAGAATGTTTGAAGGTGTTAGAAAAGTAGATGCTGGCATATTCACTGGCGTAAGCAGAAGAAAGGAACAAAGCAGCACATAACCGAGAGAAAAAAAGAGAGAGTGAAAAGGAAAAGAAAGAAAGAAAAACGTTGTACCTATAAATGTGATATGAGTTAGAAAGACGAGATCCAGTCAGGTGTTCTACTGACTATTTAATAAGTTATAGGTATCACGCCTAATGCTTTCTTTATCGCACAGAACACAAGCCAACCAAGTAGGATATGTGTGGCTGAGTTTTTGTACTTGCTAGTGCGAGCATATAGTTTTCTATCTTTTTTTTTGTTTGGCGTGTCTCAGTAGCATACTTATCACTCCTGCCCTGTGACACGGCAGCAGGAAGCGCGGTCGTTGTTAATCCGGGCCACGGCCGATCCGGCATGAAATTTTGCGATTTTGTATTGATCATGATGTTGGATTGGGTAGCCGCTTTTTGTTTAACCGCTATCCAAACAACCTGCCTGGCATGGTAGGACCTCAAGAGACATAAGTCTCAGCCAGTATAGCTTGATTTGGTCATTGCGGTGTTCAAGCCCGACCACCACGTCAAGGTAGCAGCTTTCGGTCGGGATAGTTTTCTATATAGGCTTCTGGTCTGCCTGCCTGATGAGATAGATCCAAGGGGGGAGTATCTCATCCTCAAATGATTGCTGCTCCCAATCACATCACAGTGTATCCACACAATTTGATAATCTGCTGTACATAGTCTTACTGACTCCTGTTTCTTACTACAACTTACCATTTGTCCTGAACAGGTGCTGAATCATTTCTACTCCACATTGTTTCAGTGTTGAATCGATGAAGGAAGATTCAGTGTGATTAACCTTTCTCTACCTATCGCTCTCCCTTCACTCAGTAATATTATTCACTAATACTTTTATCTTATCCTACCCTACTGTGTGATTAGATGTAAGTGAATGTATTCCAGTATAGAAGACAAGTAACTTGTTGGGAGCAGTGTTTATTTGAAAATCGGTATCGCTATATATAGAGGGGAATTATGTACACCTTATCTTGAAGGTAACCACTTGCACAGATCTTCTATGTTGTGCTACTTCTATCCTTCATATTATATGTGTTTCCTTGTATTCCTTTCATGTCGTCTCCCATGTATCTTCGCAACGCTGAATCATTTGCTTTCTTTGATGTCAAATCTATCCATCCCCCCTATCCCTTGCCCCTGTTATCTGACATTTTTTATGCAAATGAACTTTCTCCTTTTATATACTACTGATAAATCTTATCAGTGTAACACAGTCTGTAGTTCGAGTCTTGTCTCTTACTTTATTTTATTTTTGTCACAGATTGAAACATGTTAGAAAAGTTTATACACAATGGAAATGTTTTAAAAGAATTGATTTTGAAGCTATCACCAATATAAATATGTCATTACAAAAAGGTGAGATAACCGCGATTCTAGGACATAATGGTGCTGGTAAAACAACAATATTCAATATACTCGCCGGTTTACAACCAGCTACTGAAGGTTATATTCGAATATTTGGACAAGTAAGTGGATGGTGACTTCTGGATAATGAGTGCAGTGGTACTAATTGTCTTATATTACACTGTCGTGAATTAATATTAGTCAGAGAAACAGTCGAAACCAGGGGTCACTGGACAGTTTATTATGTCTTCAATAGAGTGCGAATCCCTGATTCCATTAGGGATAGATAGTACAAGCGACCTTCAGGTTATTACGATGCCGACTCATTGACTATTTGTCCACTGAGACAGAGTGTCAATAGAATCCAATGACCCAACAATCTTAACTTTTGTTAGTTTGTGATATGTGATTGTCGTTAAGCGCTGCTTTCAATGAGCAATCACTTCACCATGACATAGTGGACTTCTAACTGATGGTATTTCGTGACGAAATCCAGTTCCCTATTATTATTATTATATTTTTTCTCTTATCTTCCAAGTGGGAGGACATAAGGCTTCAACAGCACATCTCCATTTCATCTTTATGTCTTTAGTTCATAAGTTCTCATCTCCTCCTAACGAGATCTCTTTCATGTCACCCTCAGACGCCTAAGTCGTCTCCTCCCTTCAGGGTTCCACTTGAGGGTGTGTGTGTGTCTGGCACGCGATGTCAATCAACGGCCTCCTTAGCCTATGTCCGATCCAAATACATTTTCATCCACATATTTGTGAGGCGATAGGTTCTTGACAGCTTCCTTACCAGAGTTCCTCGTTGCTAATTCTTTCTAACCGGTCATCTGATCCTCACTAACTAGATGGCGAAGGTAGCTGTTAGTAAAAGCCTTCAGGAGGCTGTTGGCGATTCTCTTTGCGACGCACCAAGTCCGCCAAAAAGTACACAATAACTGACTAGACGCTTGTTTTGAAAGTCCGCATTTTGTTTCGTGTGCTTGGTGCTGCAGATTTCCACGATAATCCTCAACCAATGCCAATTGTATTTGAAGCGGTGCTGCCTAGAGATATGTAAAGGCAGTGACTTCCTTCGAATTCCTTCCATTTATGTTGATTGGTGCTTGATGTTGTTCGTTGTTGGCTATCTTCATCACTTTCTGTCTTCTCTTTCTTCTGTCTTGAATGCTTCTTCTTCAGCCAACTTGTTGGTTTTCACCTTTAGATCTTCGAGTTTGTCTGAAATTAGACTAGATATGAATCGTCTGCGAAGTCCCATATCTTCCAGCAGGCAAATCCATGTGAATTACATATTTCAACTTTAAATAAGCCATTGAGAAGACTAACTAATATCACAGGATGATATCAACAGCATTGTTTACAATGATAAGAATGTTTAAAAAATGTATGAAAAGTTCACTCAGTTACATAAAACAAAAGTACATACATAATAACAATAACCAATCGTATATTTCAGTAGGTCAAGTAAGTCAGTCCATGGTAAACAAATATATGTGTAAAACTTGGGCACTGTGGTATTAAGTAATTCCATATTAGTTTGGTTATTAAATGTATCGCACAGTGAAACAGTATTGTATACTGGATGACGTTTCGAACACAATTTATTGTTCATAATCATATCAATTTTTGGTAAACAAAGGTTGTGAAGCCTGTTGTTTTCTGTACACAAATAGTTTTGAATGCACGTGATCAATCCACAAAGTGCTTCCATCACCTTTGAATAGCCACCTTCTTAATCAGTTATTATTGTTAGATTATTGTTCCTTTAGGTTTCCTAGTGGAATATAAGCACTATATACATTGATCTGGTTACTGGTTTTTCCAAGTCAAACAGGACCACATTCACGAGTGTGTAAAGATCACTTCCTTTGAGGAGTTCGACCTATATAACTAGCTACACCGACATACACACACACACACTGATAATATGGTTATCTATCTTTGGTAATTTACCGCACTTTAGTACACTGTGTCAGTAGCGGTCTGGTTGAGAAACTAATGTGTAGTTTTGTAGCATTGAAAGTTCTTTCAACTCATCTAATCAACTAACCAATCAGATCGGTCAACTCTATAAATGAATGCTTTTGATGATCTGCGTTTTAAGTTTCATCCTATCCGCAATCTTTGCTACCCTGCCGTAACGTTAACCCTGAATTAAGATGAAACTTGCAACGAAGATTATGAAAAGCATTCATTTATAGTACTGAGCAATTCTGATTGGTTTGTTCAAAGTTAGTTGACTTTGGTATCTATTCTTTACTGGTGCCCACATGACTACTTTTTAATTTTTTTTTAAATTTCAATTTATTCTATGAACTTTACTTTTTTTAAATTATGTCTACAGATCTATTGATACGTTATTTGGCCTAGAATCACCAAGTGTTTCTTTTTTTTGGTGTTTTTCTATCCTGTCTGGTGTGATGTTATTGTAATCTAACTAAGATGATTGTGCGTAAACGCCATATCCTAACCAGCCATCTGAATCGTTGGAACATCACAACCGCCGTCAATTGACATTTCCTCCTTATCCTAATACTTCACACTTCACCTGAATTAATAATGACTATGCTTACTCCACGTAAAAATTAAACAAATACACCTACACGCTGCTATGGCGACAAACTGTAAATCTTTCCATATCTTCATTTGTCATCTTTCACTGCCGTCAAATAGGCTGTTAGACATCCATTCCACGTGTTACACACACACATACACACACATGAGTAAACATCCTATTCCTACCGTTTCTTTGAGAAGACTCCTTAGCCCTTACTTTCTGGTGTATGTCACTGAGATGATGCTGCTATGTTTCAGATTGGAATCACAATAATATCTGATCATCATCCAGTGTTCGGTCTGGTGGCTGGCAAGGTAAAAGATAAAATGAAACACAAATGGAAGGGGAACACGAATATTTTTCGTATCCGAGAACATATCCCACTATGGCTAAGCAAAGGTTGTAGTTAAAACCATTAACAGTTCGATATCGGACCATCTGGTGTAAACCGGCCACAAAGCTAGCCAGCGTGGAAGAATCCTTCTCTATTATCATTTACCGGGTGCCGAGTAAATTGCCGAAATCATCGAAGCACCGCATGCTCTAAACAGCAGAGGCTATTGCATTTCGCAACCAGTGCTCTGTGTTCAAAAGAAACAAGTCCAGCCAGCCACTACTACTGCCCTGGCCAGCCTTCAGTAGAGACTATAAATTCCTGAATTTGTAATATTATTTTTCCTAATTTCTCTGACATTTAGTTTATTTTATGTTGATGCTATTGAGCTGTAATCTATTGGTATTATTGATTCGATGTTATTTAAGCATTAATTTTGTTCATAACACTAATTCATTCATTGACTATTATGGATGGATATACAACTGTAGAACCTGATGAAGTGAAAAAGGGGTTATCGAAAAGAGTACTCTTTGTTCAGTATCCATTCTTTTGAAAAATTTTAATGAGCATTTTTAATCAGGCAAAATAAATGATTTATAAAGAACGTCACAGTCCTCACAGATGGACACTGTATATGAAAAACTGTTTCCACTGCTACTATTATTCTCATTATTATTATTCTACATATTCTAAACTGTTTAGACGTTTATGCTTTTTTGAATTCTTCATCTGATATGTTCCTCAGATTTTAGTTTATGATGATACATTTACTTTTTATATTATATGATATTTTTGCAACAAAAAACGAGTTGTGATGAAATGGTTGAGTGGTCATCGAGCTCACCTCGTAACCTGAATGTTGTCGTTTCAATCTCTGGTGGTGGGTAATGTGTGCTCAATGCTAAAAAGTGCCGGCCTGAGATAAAACAGACGTCCAGTGCTCCTTGAGGTTCCAATGGTGAGATTCCTATCAGTCATATGGAAGCGCTGGTTTCGATTCCTAGCCAACATGCTGCTGAATGCCCCGCTTAGGAGTTAGTTAACCCGGTAAACTGAGAAGGCTGAATGTAAGACTATCGATCGCAGCCCTTAAAAAATAGCATCAGCGTTAGTGGAACTTGAAGCTTTATGTTCCACTTGAAATGTAGGGAACATAAAAAGATGAACTGATTAACTTTAATGAAATACTATATTTGATTTCAGGTTACATCATATATTTGCCAGCGAAAATTAAAGAACATTATGCACCCATGACCTTACTGGGGAATGAATCCAAGACCATCGGTTTGTGATGCGACCTTCTAGACAACTCAGCCACTCCAACAGAATCTAACTCCTAGCAATTCGTATTCTCACTTGAAATAAATTCAATCTCTGCAAACCCCACCAACACTTGAAAATAATATAATAATAATAATTGTACTCACGATTTTGTTTTTCAAGAAAGCGTCATCGAAGAAAGCGTTTCGTTCCAATCTTTTCTTTTTCTCCATCATTCTGCATATAACATGATGAGATAGATATATTTTGTCATCGTGAAATTTTTATTTTCTTGACGATTGATTTGTTTATTGTTTTCTTTTAAATCTTACTACGATATGCAGGATCCACAGAATGCTTGGGATGCAATTAAACTACGCAAGATCACTGGTGTCTGTACTCAGTTTGATGTATTCGATGATAAAATGACTGTTTTAGAGCATATTAAATTATTCGGTGCTATTAAAGGCTTATCACCATCAACTATACGTCATGAGGTATGGAGAGAGAGAGAAATGTTTGTTATTTGTTTGTCGTTATATTATCAAGTTGAGAGTGTTATTAGTTACTTTTTAGTCTAGAGATGAAAAGCGAGATATTGAACCGTTTTCATGATCTATGTACATTAGTGATCAGCGTCTTCTACAATTCCCTGAAATCCAAAGGTAAATCTGTAATCTAAAAGTCGAGGAAGGGATATTACGAAGTGTCTACACTCACGACACGGTAGGTACTTAACATGGTCATCAATATAACATGAAAGATTATGAGTCTTTTGCGTTAATGAACTTTTCCATCTGATAGATTTGCGAGCCTACTGTTTTAATCATCAATCGCAACGATAACCATCAGGGACACGTGAATCAAGAGAGAAAGAAAGACAGATCGTTGACGTAGGGAGCTTTTACTGTCTTGAATCAACAGTGGAAAGGCTTCACAGCGATTCCGCATATACTAATA